GTTGAGGGCATGGCGGTGGCAAGCAGGGAGCTCCCACAGGCAGCTGCGGTGGTGTCGGTGGTGGGCCAGGTGGTGGTATTGGTGGCAGCAGTGGGGGAGTGCTGAGCAGTGAAAAATAGAGGACATAAAGGCATCTGGTTTCATATCAATAGAGGACAGAGGACCAGAAAACCAGACTGTCCTCTATAAAGCTGGATGAATGGCCACCCTAACAGATGGACCAGATGGGTCTGGAGAGGGGAGAGAGGACTGGTCCAAGTACCCCCCAGGGGTACACGTACCCCCAGTTGACAATCCTCAACAACCAACAAGCCCCTAAGGATGGGGAACTTACTCTTGGGCTATGTCTTTTTAGTAAGCTTGCTCCTAACATGCAGTTACAGGCAAAAAAAGCAAAACGACTTACTACAATGGTGCAAATCCACAAAAGTCCCATTTCTTGAGTCTATAAAAATGGGATTTGAAGAGTCTTGGTAAACCCATGCAATCTTTGACAAACCCACCAAAGTTTTTCCCAGTCTACTTTTTGCACCACTCAGCCACGGGAGATTGCAGACGCAGCCCCCCACTACCACAAATTCTACAGTCAAGTTTCCTGCGTGCAGGGAAATCACAGGAATCAGCACAGCCAGAGTGCAAGGGATGAACCTCACCCTGGAAAAACTTTTTTTTTTTTTTTTTGCCTCTATCTTCAAGATCATAATGTCTTCCCCACCAGGTAAGTATGCTTGAATGGGGCTGGGCTACGGTGCCACCCTGACAGCAACACGCACCGAATGCAGGCGAGTGCATGCAACTCCCCACCCCGCTCTTGCCTATGCAAGTATCTGCTCCCTCCTAGCACAGGCTGCTAATCTTCACTTCCTCCACGCACCCCATCCCATGCTAGGCCCCGCTCCTATGGCTCTCCACGCCCTGTTCCCACACTGCCCCACACTCATGTAGTTCCCTACCATATCAGCATACAAGCACCCATATCCTGCCCACTCTGCTTTCATCATCAGACTCTCCCTGCCCCCCTGGGCTGCAGGCAGGGCTGTGCCCCTGGGCTGCAGGGACTGATCCTGCCCTGGAGCTGTGGGCAATGCTGCTCTGGGGCCAGGAGGGGTGGAAGAGTCTGCTGCAAGGATCCCAGCTGGCCTCTGACAGCCATGGTTCAGTGGGTCTCCCCCTGGTTATATCCCAAGCACCCTCCAGCAGCACCCTGGGGCAGAACCACTGGCCTAAGACATCCAGCATTTGATCACAGGAGTTTCACAGGACTTTATCCCGAGTCTGGCTCAGGGGCGTCTCCACCTTTCCAGGGTCAAGGCGAACCCCCAGCACCACTTCTGAACCAGTGGCACAGTGGGATTCACTCATGGGCCAATATCAAGTTTACTCAGTGGTCATGTCTACACGAGACACTGACTGCACAGTTGTTACTGTGCCATCATTTAGCACTTGCATGACCAAGTACTAAATGACTGCGCAGTAACCCATGTTACACTGCAGTAGCATCCTGGCACAGTTGCCTTGTGACACTTACTGCACAGTAGCTCATTACTACCGCACAGTAGCGTTGCATCACAGTTCATGCCTGGCAATGCTACTGCACAGTAGTAACGAGCTACTGCGCAGTAATAAGGAGCTACTGCACAGTAAGCGTTTTGTGTAGACACAGACAGTTGGTCTAATAAATGAGATCACAATTCCTGAAATAACCTTGTCTGCCTATGTCCTTAGATGTACAGGGCTAGTTGGTCTAATAAAAGATATCCCATCTACCCAAAGAACCTTGCCTGCGTATCCCCCGTCATTATAAATTGTGTAGTTCTTTCCTTCTCCTTCATACACCTCTGCATCACTAAATGACTCTGACAGCTCATGCTCTCACAGGGGTGTAGGTTGTAGCCGTGTTGGTCTAAGGATATAGGCAGACAAGGTTCTTTGGGTAGATTTGATATCTTTTATTACACCAACTCAAATCATTGGAAAGACCTTTCACAGAAGAGCCGATGAACTTCATCTCATCAACCTCCTTGATACAAAAAATCATAGACTAAATAGGAACAGTGGTTTTATGACACATCGTAACCCACCTGCCATCTGACTCCCCAGGTACCTCTCCATCATTTCCTACTACATTCACTCACTCCCTTCCCTCCAACCTGTTTTGCACCCATTAACTCCTATTTCCATGGTCACTGATTGCCTCTCTTGCACGCAGCCCAGCCTCTGGCCTCTTTACTATTCCTTCCATCCAACTGCAGACACTTCCCCAGCCTGACAAAGGGTATAGGTACCCAAAAGCTTGCAAAGAAGAATTGGAGTTGATTTAATAAAAGATATCAGACATGCTCTCAAAAGACACTCAGTTTGTTAATTTTTTTCAAAGTGTTATGAAATGGGTAGGCCAGATTGAGTCTTAGTTCAGTAGGTGTGAGCAGTGGGGAGAGTGTACATATCTGTAAATCAATGAAGACATCCAGTTAACAATAAAAACAGTTAAGAAACTGCTACACAAGACACTCTGTCTTCAAAGTCTGCTCCTATTTAGCACTCCTGGAATGTAACAGTGCCAAAGCAGTCCAGCTGGGCCTGCAGGGTACCTAAAACCAAAACCATCCTGACCCTGAGGAGACACCTGCTGAAGTCTGAAGTCCTGGGCAATTAGAGAACAAATGTGGAGCTGGAGGTGATTGCAATGTCTCATCAAAGAATTACCAGCTGTGGAAGAGGGCATCCAGACCTGGGAAAGAAACCTGACCGTATGGACTAGAGAAGTGATAAATTGGGGTAACTCATGACCTGAGCTAAGCAGCAGTAAGGGCTACAACAGGAAACCATTCAATGAGCTTCTTCAGGCAGCAAAAGGGCCAGCTTGTATGGAGTTTGCAAGTAATCCTGAGAGCAGCACTGCTGGACCAGAAGAAACTCCAGAAAGCAGTAAGTTTCCAAGAACAGAAAGAAAAGGGGATCCAAGTAACATTGTGTGGGGCCAGTATCCCCTTAGCATTATTTTCAGTGATATAGCTGCTTGGACCTGTAGTACAAGCATGACTGGTTAGCATCAATAAGTACTAGTAACCTCTGGATTAGAGCTGCTTTGTGTGATTAGAAACTAGTTAATTATTTATACTATATTAATTGCTCGCCTGTTCATTAAGTTGGAAAGATGTGTGAGTGGGACTGGAGGAAAAGGACCTGATTTCAGGAACAGACCTAGTTTAATGAGGTTCTCTTTTTTGAGGCACAAGCTTGATTTTGGGGCAGGGCAGAGGCTAAACTTTACTTTGGATTCCCCATAATGCACAATTCATGGAGCAGAGCTCCTGAGTCTGACTTCAGTACCATTCACAGTAGTGTTCAGCAAGGTGGATTAAATGGGGTTACGCTCGGTTAACAATAGTGCAAGCGCGAAGAAGAAAATCTGTTCTGCTGTCTCCTGTCTGAGGGGTGTGTGGTTGCAGCAAGGGTGCTCCATGCTCCAAGTAATAAATAAATCCAGGGTTTTTAGTTGGGCCTGTCTTGAAGACTTGTTTCAACAACTTCCAGAATGAAGAAATGGGCCTCGTGTCAGTCTGAAGTGGATAGATAAAAGAATAATCTCACATGGTGATGGGTTGAAAAGGAAGATACAGAGAGGATGAATAAGCAGATGAATGCAGGGTAATTTCCCACAGCAGCTGCTCAGTGAGAGGAAATAGTTTCAGCTAAGTGGTAATAAACTGTTAGCTTAATATTTTCATGTCTGTACCTGGCAAATTCTTGATAAAAAAGCCTAGAACAGTGCTAAAGCTGGAATTACAAAGTCAGACCATAAGACTGAGGGAAATCTGAGGCTCCAGGGCCAATGCAAGAGAGTAAGACACTAATGGTTTCATAATAAAGGTGATGATAAAAGGGGCAAATTCCAGCCTTTTTAGTCATTTTGGTGTAGGCTTTTGTGTCGATATGCTAATTCGGAATAGAAGTAACTAAATCGCTGCTAGTTAACATCAAGGGCAAACTAATTTTAGCTAAACTAACTAGTGAGTTACAGGAAAATAGTTAAACATCTTTCTTTAATATGTTTTTTCACTTCTGTATAAACCCTTAAGAAACAAAAACAACTTCCAAGCAACATAATAATGTATATCTCATGAGGTTTTAAATTTAACTTTCAGCAGAAAATATTTCATGTAGCTTATATACCTGTTAGAAGGAAAATACTCATGCATCTCAGTAAAAATCTTTAGTAGTGTCCATCCAGATATTTGACTATGCACAGCTGCTAATAATCTGCAGAAGAAAATGTCAATTTAATGTATTTTATGGTACTGTTTGGCATATTGGTGAATGGAGTATCAAAGCATATAACAGTACCTAATGCCCTAAGCTTTATAAATCTATAATATGGATATAAATGTACATTTAAAATATAGCTGCTTAGCTCAGATTAGAAGAGGTCAAAATCAATCAAGACTTATTACTATAACAGTTGAACTGAAAACAATGGCTCCTTGCATGAAAAAGCATAAGGGCCTTAGTCCTGCAGGGCTCTCTGGTTACGAGATTGGGATGCCACATGCTTTAATATTGGGTTAGCATAAAGGTTGCCTTCAATGAATTTGAAAGTCAACATTTGAATTTTCAAAGTCAACAATTTCAAAGTCAACAATGAATTTTGACCGTCAACATTTTAATTTACTGGAGCCAGGATTTCACCCTTTATTTATAAGCTAACAAACTTCTTCTACATCACTAATTCGGCTTGTGGTAATGAAAGAGCTGCAGGAATCAGGTCTGCGTCTTCTTTATGGGCTTTGCTTGTTTTCTGCATTCGTTGTCTTGAACAAATTTTTGCCACGTGTTCCTAGTGATGCAAACAGCCTGGCACCTTGTAGAGCAGCAATTCTTAACCTCGGGCATCCTGCAGGGCCATGAGAACTGCTGAAGTGCTGCAGGGAGCGTGAGGATAGAAGCAGGCCCTGCTTGCTCTTCCATCCCCGCTGCCTGGCCCCTCTGCAAGGCACTATATTAATTAATAAATAGGTTTGCTTTTGAAATGGGAGATTGCTCAACTTGTGAAAGTCACAGTAGACACCCTTGAATCTAAAAAGGTTGAGAACCACAGATGTAGAAGACTGGTTTAGTTTTAAAGAAACTATTGTCATTGTTTCACTTTTTCTTCTAAAGAGTAACACATTTATATTGGTTTTCATAAGCGGTTGTTTTAATCTGAGTTCAATTTCAGTTCCTATATGGGCCAGAAATTTTTCTCTCAAGTAACTAGGCCACATCTGAAGATGATGCTTTTGTGCCCACAGATGTCTTTTTCCTGGTAATTATAAAGGTGTGCATTTGGCTGGGGGAAGCAACGGAAACATACTGCATGTTGCCTATTGCTATGCAAAGGGCCAGGAGCAGGGCTGGACACAGGCATGGGCAAACTGGGTGGCTACCCAGGGCCTGGATAGAAAGGGGGCCTGAAAATGGTCATTTTAATAATAATAGTAATAATAATCATCATTTCTGGCAAAGGGGGCCCAATACTAAAAGTTTGTCCGGACCCAGCAGGAGTCTAGGCACGGTGCTGGGCAGGAGTCGCAGTACCCAGTGATCTCTCAGCCAGGGGCAGATCTAGAGTTTCGAAAAGGAAGGTGAGATGCGTCCTCACACATAAAACCATGCATGTTTTTCACCAGTTAAACTGAACTAGAAGCTTTACCAGTGCGCCAGGGGCTTAGGGCTGCGTTCATCTATTTCAGTCGGAAGCAAAAACCAACTATAACTTGATTGGAGCGAGTTAAAACCAAATCGGCAGGGTGATGACAGGGGAGATGTGTGACACAGCACAGGCGGCAGAAGAAAGGATTTGTGGAACGTCAAGACCATTAAAAAAGGAGAGAGGATGGTTAAGTCTCGTGGGATGATGGGGTGGCTGACAATGAGTGATTAAGCCAAGTGATCCCTCATCTCTGCCTGCAGCTGCCAGGCCAGCTGTCGCCTCTGCCTGGAGCGGGCAGCAAAGTGGGGAGACAGGGCTCCAGCACATCCCCTTCTCCCCCTCGCCATCTCGGGTCTCAGCCCGCCAAGGTGAGAGAGGACAAGCTGTCACGTCTCCAGGTGGAAGTCCTAAAAAGCACAAGCAGATGAAGTTAGCCCAGGTGAAAGACACGGCCAAGAACTGAACCCAGGTGTGTTGAGTCTAGGGTGGCCATCGAGGTACCCCAAGAATAGAGGACAGCTGCATGAACGTTACATGCCTCGTGCTCAGGTTCAGACACGATGGCCAGTCGTGGGGCCTCTGGACACGATGATCTTACGGGAGGGATGCCAGTAGTTTTCTCCCGAGTTGATGTGGATGGCATACGATGTCGTTGGGTCCTGGTCTTCGCTGTCCTTTTATGCTTAGTTTAGGCAGACTTTGCCCCTGACAGCCCACTTAGCCAGTCACCTTGTTGCTGCTGAGCTGACTCTGGTTGCATACCTCATGGCTTAGACCAGGGGTGGGCAAAATTTGGCCCACAGGCCAGATGTGGCCCACCAAGCCATTCTATCTGGCCTGCGGGGCCCCTACAAAATTTAGAAAATTAATATTTATCTGCCCCTGGCTGCCTGTCATGCAGCCCTCGATGGCTTGCCAAAACTCAGTAAGCGGCCCTCTGCCCAAAATAACTGCCCACCCCTGGCTTAGATATTAGGGCTATGTGAAATTTTGCTGGCAGTTTCGTTTTGACTCGTTTTGAACTCAAAACAGCGAAATCGAAATGAAATAGAGAGCTTCAAAACAGTCTTGAAACGAAACAAGGCAAGTCGAAACGTTTTGAAACTTTCAAAACACTTTTGAGTTTCAGAGCTCAAGCTGGGCTCGCCTGCAGGGAAACAGAAACTACAGGAGAGGAAGGGGGAAGGGGTGGGGAAGGAGCGCTCTCATTATTGATTGTGTAGCTGGCCAATGACTGTCATCCTTTCCTGTGGTCCCTTCCAATCCCAGTGCTCTGGGGGAGGGATGGAAAAACTGCATAAAAGGCAGCATTGTTTGACCAGCCCTGCTTTCTGCCTTGGGGTCAGTTAAGTGAGGGCGCACCTTAACACACACACAGTGTCACTCACCTGTGTCACAAGTTTTGCCTGGCAGCAGCTAGAGGTGCAGGGCCCCAGAACCCAGACTCCCCCTGCACCCATCTCCTTGACAGCTGGCAGGCTTCGTGGCCTCAGCAGGGGCCACCACCCCTGCAGCTTTCACCCCGCTGTGGCTTGACACATACACGTGACATTGCTTTCAAGACTTTGAGGTGCAGTTTCCCTGAAGCCCCTGCACTGACCTCCTTGAAACTTGGCAGGCTTCATGCCCTCAGAAGGGGCTACCATTCCTGCAAGTTTCATCCGAATCAGGCCAGAAAGGACAAAGTTATAGACTGTTTCAAGCTTCCCCATTATAGCCTACGGGCGCAACATCAAAACAGCCTGTTTTGATGAAACAAAACGGAACAGCAGTTTCGAACTGAAATTAAATTCGAAACGAAACGCTGTTTCGTCAAAACACAATGGTGCCATTTCACACAGCCCTATTAGACATGCATATGGTAACAAAATATGCTGGTTACTTGAGAGGCCCAAACGGGCGTCTTTACCTGTTTGGGCTGCCACCCCTCCCATGGGCCCGAGGGATGGGGAGGCGTGCCCTGCACAGGCTGCTGTGCCCCGGGGTGTGGGGGCTCGGTGAAACCAGAAGTGTCATGGTGGCACTCCCAATTTTGCTTTTACCATGCAAACCAGCACGCCGGTTAATAGAGCATGCCAGCTTGTAAAGTGCCGGATAACACAGCTTTTACTGTACTTTGATTTACAACATCCTGCGATGGGAGACAAGGTGTCTGCTTGCTCCTTATCTTCTTGTAGATGATTTGTTTGCTCTTCTCAAAGCTGCTTTCTCAGGAGACTGGGCATGCTCGATACCATATTCATGCAGACATTTATCAAAAATGTATTTTAGGTGATATTCTCAACACAATGAGCTCCCACAGGTGGCTGCAGTGGTGTCGGCAGCAGGGGCATAGCTGCGGTGAGCAGGGAGCTCCCGCAGGCCACTGTGGCAGTGTCGGCGGGGAGCATGGCAGTGGCGAGCGGGGAGGTCCTATGGGCAGCCGTGGAGGTGTCAGCAGTGGCGAGCGGGGAGCTCCTACAGGCAGCTGTGGAGGTGTCGGCAGCGGGCCAAGTGGGGAGCTCCTACGGGCAGCCGTGGAGGTGTCGGCAGCGGGCCAAGCGGGGAGC